CGATAAGATGCTTCCCGACCAGCTGGTAGATTTGCTTAGCAAGGGCCCTAATTTCGCTCTCACACGATCAGTGAACAGGAACGTGATCAAAGAGGTAGAGATCGGCCTTGAGAGGGGTGTTTTTGCCTTGCGTTGGAAAAAGCATATTGAAAAAAGAAAGTCAAACCTGCATCCTAGTGCCAACAGTTCTGAGTCAGATAACGGTACTGTAGCATCAAATACGGATCAGCAAGATGAAGGTGATTCAAATACCCCTGAACCAGACATCGACCTTGACCCAGACCTGACCCAGGGAGCAAAACACAAACTGAAATTGACACCAAAGTTTAGCGACACTGACACTCGGGCGGCACCTTTCGCTGACAGCAGCACAGAGAAGTCATTCAAAGTTCTCAAGCAAAAAGTCATGACCATCTACAAAAATCACAAAACTACATCAGAGCCCAACCATGGGCCTCATGACAGTAAAATGTTAAAACAGCTGGGCGAGGATCCAGATATCATAGTAAAACGTTCAGACAAGTGTAAGAGCCTGGTACTGCTATAAAAAAAACGAATACTTACAAAAAGCAGAAAAAATAACCAAAGAATATGAAAGCGTGCCTAAAAATCCTACTACTAAATTGGAAGCTCAAACAAAAAGACTTATCAAAGATACGTTAGCAAACAAGGTACCCGACAAAGTCATCAAAAGCGTAATGCCCTCCGGAAGTCGTACAGCTGAGCTCTATGGTCTCCCAAAAACACATAAGCCAGATGCACCACTCAGACCTATCGTCTCAGCATGCGGAGACCCCCTGGACAAGTTAGCATGGCTTCTGGAAAGGATAATTACGCAGCTACTGACCTTTGTGCCGGCCCATTTGACAAACACAGACGACTATCTAGACAGACTACGGACCCAGTTTCCCCAAGGACTGCCAAAAGATTGTATAGTGTTTTCAGTTGACGTGACCAACCTCTACGGAAATATTCCCACCCACGAGGCAATCACAGCTACCTTGAATCTTATGAACAGACACTTGGACGATATTGACACTTGTGGACTCACTGTAAAGGACATCGACTCCCTCCTTAGACATTGTCTCAGCAACAACTACATTCGATTTGGTCAAAAATACTTCAAACAGACAGAGGGAGTGGCGATGGGATCCAGGATCGCCCCACCGCTAGCCATTATGTTCATGGACGCAGTAGAATCGATGATACTCACCTCTCCAAATTCAAAGTATCAGCCTATGACGTACATGAGATATATCGACGACATTCTCGGTATTTGGACACACGGACCGGACAAACTAGACGAATACTTCCGATTCCTCAACGACTTTCACCCAGCCCTAAAGTTCACGATAGAGAGGACCGACCAAACTCCAAACAGATGCATACCATACCTTGACACCATGATGAGAGTGAAAGAAGACGGCTCTTACAGCACTGAGCTCTACATCAAACCTATGACAGCCCCCATCATCATTCACTACACGTCAGCACACCCGATGCAATGCAAACGCTCTGTACTACACTCTCAGCTTCTACGCGCCAAACGACTAGGTTCTGATAGACAAGCACAAGAACGGGGCATGGGACTCATGGAATCACTGTTCAGACACAATGGATACCCGAACAGACTCATTCAAAGCACTAAACACAAAATCATGTATCACAGACAAAGATCAAAAAGACGAAACACTAAGCAACGAGACACCGACACGACTTACATATCTCTCCCCTACATAGACGAGACCCTTGCACGACGAGTCAACGGGGTAGTGCGCTCATGCTTGGCTCATGTGGCGTACAGGCACGTATCGCGTGGACCAGTGGGAAAACGGTGGCCAAATTTTTTTTTTTTTTTTTTTGCTCGGCCAGCCTAGTGCCAGTCTCGAGCGGTGGGACAGTTAACAGGAGGGGTGTTCACGGGCACCGCACACTGCTGCGTGCGCTGTGTGCGGTGCGTCCAGCAGGCGTGGGGGTAGGGGATGGGTAGGCTCTCTGACGTCACGGCTGCGTGCGGTGGACGCTCCGCTGTGGCCAGTCCCGACCGGCCACAGCGATCGCTGTGTGCGGTGACGGAAGGCTGACGTAGGGACGCAGTGGCCGGAGCTTGGAGGCTGTGTACCGCACACAGGGCCCGTGAACAGCCCTCCGGCAATTTTGGCCGGGATGCAAAAGTTACGTTAAACCGGTTTATGTTAAAGGGACCATCCCACCTTAACATTAGTTTTGAGTTGAGATAGCCAAGTTTGCGGCCAGGCTCAGAAACCACCATTTATCCTGGTCGCAACCCCCGCAGCTTTATGGTGTTCAAGAAATTTCTTCCCTTTACTTGCAGGGTGGGACCAGCTTAGTCCCTATCTCTTAACCATTAGCGGTTTGTTGATGACGTCAGCAGTCATTTCAACGCCCGCCATTCCTTGAACCCGAGTTTTGCTGACCTTGAGCTCCCTTTTTTATCAACGTGAAATCCGTCGTCGGCGCTGAGAAAGCCTATTGCTTTTCATTTTAATTTGAATATTAGAAGATACCCACCACTGGAACTTGGACTGATATTATACCAAGGCCGAAGATGATCAAGCTGCCTGCTATATCTGGAGCTTGGTGTTCAACTTCAACATGGAATGAAAAACAAAATATCAAAGCAAACTGGATATGGTACTGCAAGTTTAAGTCCAAAGAAATTTGAAGAGCTGACAATTGACATTAATTCTTTTCCCGCAAGGTTTCCATAGGAGATCACACCATGACGAAATATTTTTGATGTTAACAGTTGAAAGGGGATTGATCTTCCAGTTTTGACGAAAGACGCTGCTGACTGTCTTTGGAAAAGGATGTCGGCATGAGGTGCAATTGTGCTTGTGATGTGGTTATAACTGGTCTTTTCACAGTGTTAAATTAAATGTGCCATTGCAGCCAAGTGTGTTATCATGTAAGGTAAAATCAAAACTACAATGTTGGTTTTACGAGCATTGAGAAGGCTGGTAGGTAACACCTGCCTGTGCTCGTAAATCATGCTGACAAAGTATTCTAAATTAATTTTATCATACACTTTTGTTGTCCAGAATGGTTGCACTATTGTTTGGTATCATATTATTCCATGTACATATGGTAGTGTTAAGTCCGACCAACATGTTACCAGATTTGAAGCTGTTACGTTACCTAAGTACCTACCTGTTTTTTTACTGGCGTGGTGAATGTCACCTGGATTTTGTTTTGAGGTGCAGACCTAGTAACTCTGACTACATGGGTTTGAAGCTATTATCTATTCTGTTTTTACTGGCCTGGTGAATGGCGACTGATGTTGTCCGTGGATGGCACTGAAACAAATTTTGAGTGTCAACTGCCATGTACAGTGTTTTAATACAATGCTGAGGACTGAAAGTTGTCTTGTTTAGAGTGGTGAAAGTTCAGGATATGCCAGCCACCATGGTGGGTCAGAGTTAATGTGTTGCAGTCAGTTCGGCTTCGGCAAGCACACGGATGGGCATTGGGCATACGCATCAAGACCTGCTCTGCCATACTTTCAGCCAATTTTACCTAGGCAAGTCTTCTTTTTTTCTGCCAAAAGCTATGACATTGTGAATTTCAGTGCTGTGGCCTGTGTCATGTGTGTAGCTTTCAGGAAAGCAATTCTAAATAAAGCTCTGATAAAGTGCATGAAATCAGCAATGCAGCCCTCTATTACATTTTCTACAACATCTTACTTGTTCCTTGCATGGAGAGAAAAATGCAATGTTATGAATTCGTTTATTCACATAATTTGACAAGCATGCAGTTACCTGCTACTATCACTGCACAAAACAGAGCAGAAAACATCAGTTGATCAAACACAAGACAAAACAGAAGTTTACAACATAGGCCTGCCGAACCTGCTTCCTCCCACCACAGTTGATGCCATTTCCTAGCCTGGCTTGATGTGAGCACTGAATAGCTGCTTTGTCTAATTACAGCTCACTACCATTCAACTTAAACTACTCTCTTTAAAGTAAGAGTGAGAGCGTTCAGTGTTCATAGCAGCTCGACAGACGACAGACAACAAACATCTTGACAAACCAACCAGTATTTGATTTGGCTAATGATTTATGTGCCTGTTGTATCATGGCCAAACTACTTTAACAGCAATAATCCCTGTTTCATCTTGATCTTGCTTTTAATTCCATTTGAACTCAGATCTTGAAACAATCATGTGAAGTGATATCAGATACTGGCTTCTGTTTCTCTTGAAAGCAAGTTAAAACAACAATGATAAACTAAGGCAGGAGATGTGAGTTGTGGCAGTAGATTTTTGATTCAACATATGTCAACCTTATATTGCTTGAGACCTCTGTGACAGACAAACAAATATTTATAGTTTTTTGATAGTTTGGATTCTTGGCTTGATTTAGCAGATCAGCTGTGAACCTTGACTTTGAAATCACATAAATGTCATGGTACACGAACGAGTCCTCGCATGACATTTCTTCGTCCGCATTTCTTCGTCTACAAATCTTCGTCGGTGCATTTATTTGTCCATCAATGCTTACTCTTGCATATATTTGCGTTGAAGAAGAAATGCGAGCCGATTTTCATATACCCTGATGCGAGACAAAGTAATGCGATACGAATAAATGCCCTGACGAAGATTTGCAGACGAAGAATTGCGATACGAAAAAATGCCATAAGAAGAATTGTCCTGGAATCCTTTGTTGGCCATCATATATTGACCTTGATAAGATAAACGCATCATTCGCGCAATATTTGTCGCACTTTGATACCAAATTATTGCTTCCAAATGCCGACGTAAATAAAACCTTTATGTGACGTCATAGAAACAGCGTAGTTCCCAAAAAGTAAACAAAAATAAAAGTCTTATATCTCGAAAACGGTTGAATATTTTCCGGTAAAATTTGGTAGATGTTCATTTTCGCTCTTTGTGATTCACGCTACATCACTTTTATGCCAATTCATTAACTTTTTTGAAGGTGGGAGGGTCCCGGGAGCAAATAACAACGTGGGAGCCTATCTTAGGTGTGGCAAAGCTAACGGGAGTACTTACTTGTTGCCGAAGTGCCGAAAGAAGGTGCTGGAACCGAAAACACAGCATTGGTTCATGTATTTATTAACATTCATACTCACAGTCATACTTGTGCAAGGGGTGGCCAAACACATCGTGAGGTCAGCGCCCCCCGTGCCCTGCTGGTGCCAAACGCTGTGCCACATGCGAATCAGGGCTCCCAGGCCGCTGTCACATCAAAAATGCCGTCTACAAAATTACATGTAATCTTTGTGACAATGAAAGTACTATTTACATTGGCGAAACAAAAAGGCGCATCCGTGACAGATTCAATGAACACTTTCGTGACGCTAAGAACAAGGCAAAAAACACCCCTCTTGGGGATCACGTTACCCTAAGACACCCATCATGTACAATCACATCATCGTCATTCAAAATCTCCATTGAAAGAGTGTGTAAAGACGTCGTTGATTTAAAAATATCCGAATCAGTGGAAATAAGGAACCAAAAACCATGTTTGAACACCCAAACTTCATCCTGGCCACTTCTGCAGCGTCCATCGTACACCCCCACATAACTATATTGTACATATCCACAAATTGATTGTGACAACTACTGTCTGATTGTGCCGTTGATTTAGGCTGCGCCAAACAATGTGATGATTCATGCAGATTCTATGTTGTTATTTTGTATATTGTATATTGATCTTGTGTGTTGTATATTGTACATGTATCGTAGATATCATGGACGGCGCATCGTTATTTCGAGAGCCATGTATATATGAAATTATTCTCTCATCAAGGAGCTGATTGAAGCGCTGCACGATTTATTGATTGATGGAATCGAATTTTGTTTGTTTGTGTCGACAATTGTTTCTGTACATTCTGAAGATGGCGCAAGCCGAAATATATCAATGATTTTGTTTAATTATTCAATTTCAACAAAAAAGTGCAAAGAATGAGCATAAGGTTATTTATACATACTTTTCTACTTATGATGATGCTAAAAGGTGCCATTGCTCGCCTACAAAAACCTAAACAAACCTAACCCAACCTGACCTAACCTAACCTACAACCTACAAACCTAAACCCTACAAACCTACAAACCTACCCTACAACCTACAAACCTACAGCGCCTCTCCTCAGTTTGAAAACCTTCGTGTGGCATCTGCTCTACTAATGCCAATAATCTTTCATGCAAATCTCCATCGACTGCTAAGCATAAGCACACAGCGGGCTTTAGGACCCCATAGTCCCTCCCCTGACTGCTATCAAACATAGGCTAGGTATCTTCATCCTGCTCAACATGCTTCAGTCTTTAAAAGACCACCTACTCCAAAGGGTCACTTTCAGTTTCATCTTACCCTATTTCAGAGGAAATGGGCATCAAATGTTCTTGCAAAAAAAACTTGGGATAAATGCGATTCACTGGGATAAATAGGAATATTGTGACAATGGGTGTAGAGAAGCCTGAAGCTTATGATGATTTATGACATGTAAAATTAATTGTCCCATCTTTCACATTTTTCAGGTTGTATTGATTTGTAAGTGATATACTTGTATCCAGCACATTTATAACAAGTAACAATGGCTTCTTCAAGTGTAAGTACCTGTGCCATTTTAACAAAGGAGTAATCTTATGTTGGATGCAACTACCCATGGTACATTGAATTAAGAACTACCTACCTAAGTGTCATTGTTGCTGAGTGCAGCTCATGCTCATATTTTTGGCAGATAAATTTAAGATATATCTTTGATCCTATGTCTTTAATGTGTTCTTTATGTCTAAAAAGTGCTTGCCATTCATTGTTATCCAGGCAAAGTAATATCCCCGATAAATACTACTCTATGCGACATGAGTGCGTCATTATGACGTCGCTCGTCATCCACCCTTCAGAAGCAGCCGGAGGACCACCGTCGCAAGTGGGACCGTGACGAGTATGAGGCGATTGCGGCGCGCCGGCTGCAGGAGGAGGAGGCCAAGCGCGAGGCGGCCGACCAGAAGGGGCCGCCCGTGCAGCGCGAGCTGCTCCGCCAGCGCGAGTACAAGGTCGACCTCGACAGTCGACTCGGCAAGAGCGTGGTCATCACCAAGACCACTCCGGCCGCCCAGTCCGGCGGGTGAGGCTCAGGGGCGGGCGGGTGGACGGTCTCGTGACGATAGCATGACCGGAACTGCCTCCTCTGTCGCATCATGGGCAGTGTTTCACCAGCGCTGCTAGCGCGCTGCCAGCACACGTGGTAATTTGGGTTTCAATGGAACCATCAACAAGCCCATAGCTTCAACACTACCACAAGTGTGACGTCAGCTCGCGAAATGCGCTAGCAGCGCGCTGGCAGCGTCGGTGAAACACCGCCATGGTTTCTCATGGGCAAGACAATGAGTAGGGAATGACTGTTGATTGTGGACACCTACCCAAATAATTGAATATAAGGAAGTCAAGAGATAGCGATGGGTTTAAGCGCCTGTGTTTTTGTAGTAAGCTGCGCCGTGCTATTTAGTCCAGTACAGTTTTGAAGGACTTATATTTAAGAATTATATTTGAGCTCTTAGTATGCCTATCCCTAATGCTCTTGCAGGGCAGGAACTAGGAAGTGAGGTGATGGCATTTACTGACGTGCTTTTTTCGACAGGTACTATTGCAACGTGTGCGATTGCGTAGTCAAGGACTCCATCAACTTCCTTGATCACATCAATGGAAAGAAACGTAAGTATTTATCACTTTTAACAAGTTTAACTTATCCCACACTCAGCGAAAACAAAATAATATCTAGACGAATCATATGATGTACGTTTTACGTATGTTGAAAACTTAAAGGTGGCATGACATGTGATCAGTGTCTTTTATTTGCTGATTGTCATTAAGTCATGTCAGTTTGTACTCGGTGTACACGGTGTAAAGATGAGCTGTAATATCTGCTCCGTTTCATTGAAAGTTCTACATTTTTTCGGTGATCTCCTGTCAACAGATCAGCGCAATCTGGGCATGTCGATGCGAGTGGAACGGTCCTCGCTAGATCAAGTAAAAAAGAGATTCGAGATGAACAAGCGGAAACGCGAAGAGCAGAAGAAAGAATACGACATGGAGGAGCGATTGAACGAAATCAGAGAAGAGGTGAGTAATAGAGCAATGTGCAGTCATACTTTGCGAGTCATGGCACTTCAAACGGCATAGTCAACGGTTTTCCGTCGTATATTCTTTGTAGGTGCAAACGAAAGGCTGTTGGAGGGGATTTATGTCTATGCATTGTAGCGAAAGTTGTTTCCGCTCCGTACTTTTTTTAAGGTTTCTTACTTATCATTTGGATTCCTGCGTACATTATGTCAGGGTTTACGTTTCGCCTTCCGTAGCTCATGTTGTTGCTCCATCTATGAAGCACGTGTCCTCACCGTGGTGTTTGTACTCCGGCCGCCAGGAGGAGAAACAGAAGGAGTACCGACGCGACCGGCGGAAGGACAAGAAGAGGAAGACGGCCGACCCGGTGGACGACGAGCCCGTCGACCCGGCGCTGGCCGCCATGATGGGATTCTCCGGGTTCGGCGGCGCCAAGAAAAAGTGATGCGGCTCTGACGAAGGTCAGTGTACAGTTACACCACCCTGAAGCGACACCCGTGACCCGAGTGTACCATGGCCGTCCACTAGCCGCCATGGGACTGATCATGCAGTAAAAAGATTGCTGCAAACGGACCGGGCGGCTTGTCACAGACTTCGCACCGTCCGAACTTGTGGGTGTGAGTTACTTTCTTCACCGGGCGTGAATAACTTTCTTCACGTCATGGCCCATTGTGAGGTTAGGCGTGTTGCACAGGAGGATAAGTCGGCTCTGGGGGCAGCCAAACAAGGCTGAAACTCTTCCTCGGGGGACTGTGACGTAACACATAGACGCCTCACGTATGACGTTCGCTGCGCGGTCTGCGCTGTTCACTGGTGAGTACAAGCCTGTCGATAGGGTGAGAGGGTGTGAGAAGGCAGGTCTGGTGTAAACGCTCACTGTGGGAGCCGCCGAACGCATTCTCATGCATGTGTGCGACGTGGCTCAGCGGGTGCGTCCTCTGCGTAAGATGTCTGAATGTCGCGGGGCTGGCTGAGGCGTGGTCACACGTGTGGTTGTGTGCCAACGCTTGGATGTGTTTCGTATCTGCAGGCGGCACCTGGTGAACGTAGAGCTGGATCGTTTATGGACAATTTCCTCATTGTAACTGGCATCGATATGTGCAAAACGATATGGTCCTACCCGGTTATCGTTGCTGGCTCGTGTTCATATGTGTAGTTAACTGCTGCGCTCTTTTTGTGGAAAAAATGCCTCGAGTTGGTTACAGTGTTTACACAGGCCTTCGAGGCCTTCGACCTCGATTGCTAAGGCTGGGTTTTGAATCTAGCGATCCGGTGAATGGAGTGGTTAGTGATCGGTGGAGGTTGTAGCAGGTCCTTCAATGACTAGCCTGGCGTTAGCAACTGTTGACGCGATGTCCATAACAGAGAAAGACACCATTCGTGAATCCAGATGATCGAATCTCTGTCCACCCTGTGATCCGGTTGAACGTATCAACCTATTTCTGAAAGCGCACCGCGTAATCAACAAAGAGCAAGTCGTAGATGTGTCACATCTCCCAAGGACCGAACCTCTCACAACCTGTATAAAAGGGATCTCCCAGCGTATATTTCGGCCTCCTGAGCAAAACAACAGAACGTCTATACGTGGTCGGTCATTCCGCCCAGTCGAGACTTCCACAGATGATCAGCGCGAGGCCCCGGTACCCCCCCCCCCCCCCCGCTGAGGGGCGCGCGTGCACATGATGCCCCGCCAGTCGCGCCGGCCGGCCACCTCCGCTCCGGAGGACCGCCGAGAGCTGGGTGCATTGGTGACGCGGCAAACATAAAACGCGAAATGGATTAACAAACCCAGTAGCAAATCACTCATAAATAGTCAAAATTGCTATCATTCTCCGGATGCCGCAGCCGAATGTCGGCCGAAAGTCATAGCCTCCGCCTTCGGTTGGAGTATTTGAACTTGGTGACGTAGCCGACTACCAGCGACTGGATCTTTGTCGGATTGATGTCCCCCGATTTGTTGTGGCAAATCTGCAATCACAGACAAATTGAGTTGTTTCAGAATGCGCACGGTATTCCAATAGGCGAAGTTAAACTAAGTTCAGCTCACGCTGGACACTTGGAACAACTATGCCACCCATCCATGTAGCTTGCACAACCCCGTTTGAAGTTTTAGACCCGACTTCATTATGTCCACTGCGAACAAACTGCAGTTGATGCGATCAAACTACATACCTAATAAACTGCGAACTATCTGAAGTGGCGTAAACAATGCAAGGCACCCACTTACTGACAGAGCACATCATACAGAAACATACGAACAGTGCCTACATCGGACGCTGGAGGAGTTATAACGCCGGCTTACCTTGTTGACCGACTTTCCGAGGATGTGCTTGTACTGCTCCTTTGTGATGTCACGCTGGTGGTAGTAGGGTTTGAGGACCATCTTCACCTCCTCCACCACGCGCTCCTGGCGGTTCAGCTTCCTCAGGAACTGCCAAACGAGCAGAGCGTCATTACGGGGAAATGCCAGCCGAGCACAGTCAAGCACCTGGTAAAATGGAGACAATACATTCCGTGACGAATGAAAATGTGATATAAATATATCGGCTAATGCTTGAGGGTATTCCTTTCTTACCTTGAAGCAGTTGTTCTTCCTGTCAAATGAAAGGACTTAAACGTTTAACAAGGTGAAGTAGCACCCAACAACCAACTGCATGCTATTCAGTATTCACTAATCTCACGAAACAGCAATACTCGCCACTCCTGCTACCCCGAGCAGGCCGTCGCGACCCACCTTTTCTTTGACCATCAGCTCGACGGCCGAGTTGGGCACGTCATCGACCACCTCCAGGCCGTCGTTGGTGATGCTGGCTGACGGCACAGACTTGTCCGCTAAAACAGCACGGGACGTGGGTCAGACGGGGGTGGGTAGCCAGGACGGGCAGGAGCGATAGCATGCAGCTAGGACAACAGTGATGACATGGATAGTATAATTGTGACGCATTGATGATATAGGAGTCTCCATAACTTCCTGGACGACACTAGCCGCCCGTTAACATAGCATAACTCAGATCAATAGAAACTCGCCGAATTATCGGTTGTCTCAATTGACCCATTGACATTTGACCACGCTATTTGGTTTCTACGCCACACCGAATACACTGTCTATAGCCACGTCCGAGACCGACATCTGCATCATGTATTCCAAGATCCAACATCCCGATTAGTCCCTTCTCCGTCACTCACCTCTGCGGACGGGCACCTCGTGTTTCCTGGCGCCCTTCTGCCGCCCTCCGCCGGACCGGCTCACTATTCGGGTGGGCTCCGAGCCGAACAGGTCGTCGAACCGCGACATGCCCTCGCCGGGTGAGAACGGCGAGCAGGGCGCCGCCCCCGCCGCCGCCGTCGGTCGCGGCGGCTCGAACAGGTCGTCCCCGTCGTCCGGGTCGGGCGAGCGCGGCGACTCGGGGGAGGCCGGCGAGCCCAGCTCCATGTCGATGCTGGGGTCGGCGGGCTGCGGGGAGGGCGCCGCGGCCGGCGGGGCGGGCGCCGGGGTCGGCTGGGCCACATTTGAGACGACGGCGGCCAGCGTGGCCAGACCGGAGAGCAGCTCCTGCACGGCCGGCTGGGGAGACGGGACGGCAGACGGTCACACACGGCTATAGACAACATAACAGGGAGGTGCACACCAGCGCAAGCCAATGCACTGTTTAGGGATAGTTTTTAGCTCACAAAATGCAATTAATATTAGTACCGAATGCAATATTCATTCGGGCAAAACAAAACACTCCTACCCAGCCCAGCCAAACGCCACCTCGTTTGTTTACTGGGGCTTAAGGGCGCGCCGACTACAAGGTCATTTTGCGGCACTACATCTATCCTACCCTCCCCACAGCGCTCTTACCAGTGACACCGTCGTCTGGCCGTCCAGGGTCAGTGTTGCCTCCTGCGGCGCCGGCTTTGCGCGCGCCGCCTCTGTCGACCTGCGCCGTCTGCCGCCGCCGGCGGGACTGGCCGAGGGCGAGTGGGTCGGATCGAACGGGTCGTACTGGTCGACGGAGCCGTCACTGGGCTCCGGTCCGGGCGGCGTGCACGGGCCGCGCGGCGCCGGCGCCGGCGGAGGGCTGGGTTCGCGGCTGTCCTCCGGTGGCGTCTGCGGCCCGCGCACCGGCGGCGCCGCCTCGGCGGGCCTCGACACCGGGACCTCGGTGACCTCGGTCACCTCGGACGGAGTGGCGGGTGTGCTGGAAGCGGCGCCGGCCGTCTTATCGTCCTTCTCCGGTTTCGGCTCGCGTGACAGCGGCGACGCGTCACCCTCGCCCTCGGAGTCGGTGATAACGATCGGGTCCACCCGCGGCGGCGGCAACTCGACGACTTCACCGTCGCTGGGCGGAGTCGGCGACCGCTTCCAGTCGGACCGCGACCACGAGCGAGAGGCGCGGTCCTTCGATGGCGAGCGAGAGCGGGAGCGTGAGCGGTGTTCATGACGCGACGACCGGCCCGGAGAGCGAGTTCGCCGCTTCCACGCGGGCGACTCGGAGCGCCGCGACGAGCGTCTCCGGGGTGAGGCGGTACGGCGCGCGGTTTTATCCCGCCGGGACCCGCCGCGCACCTCGTCACGATCACCCTTGTCGCGCTCTTTGGAGGTCCTTCGCCGCGCGGCCGTCCGGTCGCGGGACGCATCCCGCGTACGTTTGCGACCGGCGGAGACCGGCCGGTCACGGGAGCGGGAGCGGCGCCGGCCGGGAGAGCGACGCCGGTCCCTCGTCGAGCTGACACGGTCACCACTCCGGCTCGGCAGAGGAGACCTCTCACGAGACCGGCGCTTCCTGCTGCCACCTCGGTCACGGGAGTCTCCCCGAGTCCTGTCCCGCGACTTCGACCTTCTCCGAGCCTTTTCTCGTGAGGTTGAGCTAATTCGAGCCTTGTCACGAGAGCTTGCTCGCTCCTTGTCACGAGAGCTTGCTCGCTCCTTGTCACGTGAGCTTGCCCGAGCTCTGTCTCGTGACTTTGACCTTCCCCGAACCCTGTCCCGAGAGTTCGCTCGGTCCCTGTCGCGTGAACTCTTTCGACCTGAGACGCCGTTGTCCACTGAGGGTTTCGTTGCTTTCGGCAGCGGTGAGACCTCACGATGTTTCGACTTTTTCTTCTTCACTTCTCTGTCAGAAGAATCACCTCTGCCTTTCTTCGCTTTCGTCGCTTTCTTATCAGCATCTGATGAGCTATCTCGAGTTACCCTTCTCTTTCCTTTCCCAGCATTTGATGGACTGTCCCGACGATCTTTTGCTTTCGATTTGTCTTTCTTGGTAGAGGCTGTATCACGCTTTTTCTTGCCTTTACCTCTATCATCTTCAGAATGTGAAGAACTATCACGAACTGGCTTCTTCTTTTTAGTCGCCTTTTTAACCAACGTGTCATGCTTTTTCTTCGTTTTGCCCCTGTCGTGTTCTGAATCTGAGGAACTATCCCGGCTAGGCTTTTTCTTCTTCGTCTTCGTTTCCTTGTGAGACGAGTTAGCTTCAGTCTTCTTTTTCTTCTTCTCCACATCTTTATGTGGGGACAAATCCCGGACCTTTTTCTTCTTCTTATCCCGATCTTTCTTGGGGGTCGGGGAGCGTGACCGTTTGCGTTTGAGCGCCGTGTGACTCCGGCTGCGCGACCGGCGCCGCCTCCGCCGACCGGGGGAGCCTCGGCTGGAGACTGACGAACTCGAGAGTGACGAGCTGCTGGACGAGGAGCTCGAACTGCTGGAGGAGCGCCTCCTGCCCGGCTTCCGCGCCTGGCGGTCCGACACAACGGCCCGCACGTCGTAACGCTGCAGATCCTCCTTCTTGTTCTTTGGTGGGGGTGGCTTTGAGGCGGACTTCTTGTCACCAGGTCTGCCTTCTGTTGAGGTTTTACGGTTACTTGACTCATTATCCTTTACACTATCCTTCTTGTCACGAGCCTTCTTTTTATTTTCTGAGTCATCCCCATCTCGCCTCGAGCTTCCAGCAGCATTAGTATCAGTCCTTTGGCTAACACTACCATTTACATCATCCTTGACCCGGTCCTCTCCACCACTTTTATCCGCCTTCACCGGACTCGCAGCCACCTCCGGCTCCGGCTTACTCTCCGGTATTTTCTTCCACTTGCTCTCAGTTGGCGCTGGAGTGTTCCCACCCTCGGCCGTTGCCGTAGTCTCTGCCTCCTCAGCCTTCGCCGTTCCCGGTTTGTTCCGATCAGGAGGTGATCCGGGCGGCAGAGGGGGAGGGGAGAG